CTTTTGTACTTGATATATTATTACTTTTACTCTCACCAACTCTACTATACACTTTCTTCTTCTTTTACATCTCCATGAAAATACTTCTTTGCTTATGCGCCTTTATGTCTTCCATTAATCCAAGCAAGAACATACAAGATTGAAGAACCCATAGAAGTTATTGAGAATAACTTGAAGAAAACCCATTTACTTTCTTTTATAAAAAAATGCTTACGAAAGTTCCATCCATTTTCGATATTGACCATGAGTTTCCGGCGACTTTCCGGTAACTTTTGGAGTCCTTCCTCTCCCCCTTTATAGTAGCTAGGCAAACGAGATTGAGAGAGTTACGGCAACAAGAGAGATCTATATTATATCTTGATTCGTGCTATCTACTTCTTAAAAAACCACGAAAGAATTAAACGAAGTATATAAAAATACCGTTTGAAAAAGAATTTAATCGAAGAATTGAGAAAAAAAGACGTACCTTTCCAGGAGAGGTGGACCACTGGCCACTGTCCAATCCCTCTCACTTTTTTCTCTAACTATTCTGGGAAGAGTTGTTGTACCGTATAAGTATAAATATATTAATAATATAGGACTTGCACTTTGTCGCATTAAACAGACATGTATTATAGTAGGCAGTAAAAGGACGTACTATGTTTTGCTTTTTCAAACTTTGCTGCACGTTGCACTTAACATTCAATTCAACTATTATTATTTATTGTCCAAACTTAAATTGTGTGTACAACTTGAAAAAAAGTAGATGCCTTTCCAAATAAAATTCTGACATCTTATCTTATCATCACCACAGCGGTTGCCGAGAGAAGAAAAGGAAGAGTGCATAGTCTTTAATTTAAAATTTAATTTGAAAACTTCCCTCTAATTTTCATAATTAAAAAAAAAATTACATATAAAAATTACCCATAACAAAGTTTTACCCGCTTGAAATAAAAAGTTTGAGAATATAGACATCGAATCTCTGACCTCAAAGAAAGGTGGGGTACATGCCAATATTTTTATTCACATTTTCACAAATCAAGAAAATTTTATATTGATATTAAGAATTTATTCAATTTGATATATAACCAAATGTCTTTAAGATATATGTCAAAATATAGATATATATATACATACATACAAATGTCAAGAAAATATAGAATAGTTAATATGGGTATGCATATTAGTAATAAGGTTTATTTTATATAAATTTAATCGGAAGTGAAGATATATGTCCCCAGTAATTGAAATATATTCAAATTGATAAATATTAATGGTAGTATTTATATATTATTTAAGTGGTATAAAATATTGCTATAAAAAAAGAGGTATAAAATATTCATTTATTAATTAACATAAAAGTTTGTATATTTCTTAGTTTAATTTGTTCGGATTTTTGCTGACTGGATGACCAAAAACATTAGGCTTCAAAAAATGTTTTTAATCATTTTGCTTATATATACATTATACGTACTTTACTGTTGAAAATCAAAATCAAATCGATTCCTCTCTCTAATATTCAAAAAAAAAAAATCGATTCCTCTCCCACATCCAAGAAGTAAAGAGATTAAAAACCATACACCCCAATCAAAATTACAATTGGAAAAATTACAGTTATTCTCTTTGATCGGTCAATGATAATATAATGCTTCACCACGACCTAAAAATTAGTTGTTCAAATACATGGATAAGTATACCACTGTTTGAATGAAAAAGAAGAGATATGGAAGGTCTGTGGCAACCGTTGGGTGAGCATGAGTAAGAAAGAAAACAAGCTAGAGTGAGTGAGGGAGGTGGCTCTTTTTAAATCGGATGTTCGTTTGAGTTTTTTGGACTCTGATACCATATTAATATTCATGCGGTTCTATCTCAAAACCAATGGACAATAAGAAGAGTAATTCATCTATATTATAAACTCTTGTCTTTTCAACGTGGGATCGATCATCATTTGTATCCAAATAATTTTAAATCTTCCATCTTTCTCTTTTAAATATTTAGATATCTGTTCATATTTCTCTTTCTAAATCTTTTCTTTTAATTTTTTTTAACCTTTTTGTTATTATTCCTCTTTTTATTATTATCTGAGTTTTTACAATGATTATAGTTAAAAAAATAAAATAAATCTGCAACACAACAGGCAATTATATTAAATTTTTAAGTATAAGAATTTGTTTGTTAAAATGGAGTTGAATAATCTCTTGTTATGTCCTTTTTTTTAAAAAAAATATTTCTATTAAGATTATAGTAATTTTTTTTTTAAAATCTAAAACTAAGATGAGATAAGATGAAAATCTAACCTAGTAATAATAATAATATTTGATTTTTGAAAATATTAAAGTTGTACTTTTGTTTAACCTTTTACAACCACATTATGAACGGAGAGCATAAAGCAATAATTAGAGCAAGAGACAGAAAAGAGGACAAAAACGAGAAATAGAAAAGGAGCAAGAAAACAAGGAATAAGAATCTAAAAATAGAAAATGTTCAAAAAGCAAGATTACTTCCAGGGATAGATCTATAAATTTTGTTGAAGAGACTTCGTACTACTTCTGAACGAGAATTCATAAAAGTATCTCAAAAGGAAAAAAAATATAACTTCACATGCACTGTGACATAAGGAAAAGAATAAAAAATCAGGTATACATATTTTATTCGGGCCTAATATTTTGGATCATCCAATAAAAAAATTACAATTTTGTGCCTTTGAATATGCGCACTATTTTTATTAATATATCTTCAATATTTGAAACATCGATAGATATTCGAGATAATAACGAAAATTGGTGCAAATATTATGAATTAGTAAAAAGAATTTAATTATATTTTAATTAGATTATAATGGATCCTTTTAAATTTTAACCACTATATCTACCTATATATAAATAATATTCTCTTGAAAATGTCAAAACAAAACAAGTGGAGTGAATTAGAAAAAAATTATATAAATTTAAATAAAAAGTTAAATGAATGATTGATTTAGGAATCCATTTGAAAATGGTGAAATTTAAATTTTAAAGAAAAGTAAGTAAAAAATAAATAAGTTAAAAAATCATGAAAGTGAATTAAAAATATATTTAGAAATTATATAAATTAAATTGGAAAAGTTGAATAGATAATTAATTTAAAAATAGGTATGGAAATGGTGTAGATTTAAATTTGAAGTAAAATAACAAAAGTTAGGTTAACCATTATAGTCAAATCAATTTATTTATACAACGAAATTAAATAAAGAATCAATTAAAAAAAATTCAAATTAGTCATCATTCTTGTTATGAATGTTTAAAAAATTTCGAGTGACTCGAAAAAATTGATCAATACAACTAAAAACGATTTGGATTATAAACTTATAAATCAAACAATTAAGTTGGGTCCAAAAGAAATCTGAACCGAGTTCACGTGAAGTTTACTTCTTATCAAAACTACAAATCACATTTTCTTTTTATTTTTTTATTTTTTATATATACTATAAGACTGACCTAGACTACCTTTTATTGACCACTGTGATAGTTCTATGAGGAGAAAAATGTAGGAAACGAAATATTTTTCGTACTAAAAAAATGAAGAGTTCTCAAATTTGTAACCACCTCAAAGGCAATGTCATTAAATTTTCAAGTTACTTCTAATTATAGTTACTGGCATAAAGATGACTTTTCCACACGTTTTTCAGCAGGTCGGGCCCACGAAAAGTATTCAAATGACATTTCCTTTACATCTTGTAAACGTCATCTAAAAAAATATAGGAAGCACGTGGGAAATTTGTATTAGGTTTTAGACTAGGAAGAAAAAAAGAGAAAAACTTATATCTATCCGTTATAAATTTGTATTATTAATTACAAATATTGGGTTGGCAAAAAAAAGTAAACAAAGATCTATATCAGTGAGGTAGAGGGAAGATCATGAATCTTCAGAGACCAAGACAATTATTTCAATTGAGTTCTTTTTGAGTAAAATTTGTCAAAATTGAGACATTTAAGGAGAAATTATAAAAGTACCACAAAAGAAATATGCATTATAAAAAAAAGAAGAGAAAGAGAAATAGAAAAAGATAAAAGATAAACCAAAAAGATGAAATGCAAAGGAGTTAAATACTAATGGTATAGTATGAGAAGTACCATTTTAGTGATTTAAATACTAACCAAAATTGAATTAAGAAAAATGCAAAGGAGTTACTATTTTTTTAAAAATAACTAATCAAAGCCATAAACTCCATGTTTACATCATCAAACGAAAAATTCCATCCACACCTATCTTGTTGGTAAACTTCTAAAAATTTGACCAATTTTGATATTTTCTTAAAATCATAAAAAATTTCTATCTTTTTACATTTCAAAATTTTACAAAAATAGCATAAATGATCACATATGAGAACTATAAAAAACTTAAACAAAAATAAAAAGTCATGATATTTTCATATAATTAATTTTATGCTAATTAGTATAATTTCTCAAATTTCTTTTAGTAGTGGCCAGCAAAACATGGGTTATGAGTCTGATGACTTAATTGTTTATCAAAACTACAGATCACAGTTTTTCGAAAACTCTTCTTGATATGACTATGTTTTGGCAGTTCCGAGAGAAGAAAAAGGTAGAAAAAGAGAGAGAAGGACAATATAGGGTACAAGGACAATAACGTCTTGTCCAAGTATTCGAACAGTTTTTAGTATAACTTTCACGATTATACTTTTAGTTTTATCTAAATGCTTCACACCAATAAAGATAATTGTCCTCTCTTATATACATTATATAAACTCATTTTCCTAACAACGTAGAACTTTGTTTGCACTCTTTACAAACCCAACACAGATGGAAATTGGAGGGCCCCTAACATAAACTGCACCAAGATATTTGTTTTGGTTATATAAGTATCGCGTGAAGTAAATCAAAGAAGTATGGCTTCCGTGTGCCCTCCATTGCCGCCATCACTTCTCCCATCATCCAGAAGAAAGTTTGTTGTGAATAAAAATAATAAGCATGCTCGAGTTGTGTGCAGCGGCTCCAACAAGCATGATTCCCAGTCCCCAGGGAATATGGTGGACCGGAGAGACGTGCTTATTGGGCTGGGCGGGCTGTACGGGGCTTCCAGTTTTGCCCCAGAATMTGATTCCTTTGCCATTGCCGCTCCGGTGGACACCCCCCAAATTACCAAGTGCGGGCCAGCACAGGTGCGCGACAAGAAGGTCGAATGCTGCCCCCCGCCGTCCATCAAAATCAAAGACTTCCGGCCGACTCCACCCCGCAAATTACGAGTTCGGCCGGCCGCCCATTTAGTCGACAAAAACTACCTGAAAAAATATGAGAGAGCCGTGGAGTTGATGAGAGGCCTGCCAGACCATGACCCGCGTAGTTTCATGCAGCAGGCGAATATTCACTGTGCCTATTGTAACGGCGGTTACAAGCAACTTGGGTTCCCAGTTGAGCTCCAGGTTCATAATTCGTGGCTTTTTTTCCCTTTCCATCGCTTTTATCTCTACTTCCATGAGAAGATCTTGGGAGAGCTGATTGGGGACCCCACTTTCGCCTTGCCGTTTTGGAACTACGACGCTCCGGCGGGGATGACATTTCCGGCCATCTTCGCCAACCAGAACTCGCCGCTTTACGATGAATTTCGTAACGAGAATCATATGCCGCCGACGGTGGTGGATCTGGATTACAATGGCACCGATGTAAATATGGATGATGAGGCCAGAGTAAGGAGTAACCTTCGGGTTATGTATCGGCAGATGGTATCCGGCAGCCGTACGCGGTCACTGTTTTTCGGCCGCCCTTATCGAGCGGGCGACGACCCATCACCAGGTCACATTTTCCTAACCACATATTTTAAGCTTTTAACACTTTATCCTTTTTAAATTACAATCATATCTCAATTCTGTATCTCTTAGCTAGCGATAAGAGGTGTGAGGTGTTAATCAATCCTAGCCATGAATCTTGATTATAATAAATATTACAGGAGCTGGGAGCGTGGAGAACGTTCCTCACATCCCAATTCACAGATGGTGCGGCAACAAGCACCAGCCCAATGGTGAGGACATGGGAAACTTCTACTCCGCCGGTCGAGACCCGGTTTTCTACTCCCACCACGCAAACGTGGACCGGATGTGGTGCATCTGGAAAACCCTGGGCCGACGGCGCAGGGACATTCAAAACCCCGATTTCCTCAACGCATCTTTCGTGTTCTACAACGAGAAGAAGGAGGCCGTGCGAGTCCGCGTCCGGGACTGCCTCGACACCACAGCCCTCGGCTACGTCTACCAGGACGTGGACATTCCGTGGCTCAAAACTGCCCCCTCGCCACGTCGGAAGAAGCTTCGAAAGGGTGGCGTGGCCAATAACAATATGCCGAAATTCCCATCCTTGCTGGGCACCGGGGCAGCCCTGGCGGCGGAGTCGGAGTTGGAGTTTCCGCTGTCTCTGGAGTCGGTGATCAGGACGGACGTGAAGCGGCCGAAGAAGTCGAGGAGCAGCAAGGAGAAGGAGGAGGAAGAGGAGATTTTGGTGATCTCTGGGATCGAATTTGACCCCAACACGGCCGTGAAGTTCGACGTTTTGATCAACAGCGAAGAGGACAGGGAAATACGGGCGGATAACACTGAGTTTGCCGGCAGCTTCGCGAGCGTGCCCCATCAGAACGCCAACATGAACAACCTCAAGACCTGCCTGAGGTTGGGGATAACTGAACTGCTTGAAGATTTGGGCATAGAGGATCAAGACAGCGTCGTCGTCACTCTCGTGCCTAGGATCAAGGATCAGAACATTACCATTGGCGGCATCGAGATTGAATTTGACCCAGATGATGATTAACCAAACTGATCCACTTATCTTTATTTTTCTTCTCTCCTAAATGTCACGGTATAATTGCTGATCTATATGAACTTAGTTGATCGGTAATTGAAATATTTGCTTCTTCCTTTTAACCTTCTCCTTTAACCTCCTTTAATTATATTTTTAAATAATATATATATAGTTGCACGGAGAAATTTTGAATTCGTTTATACTTTTTAGTATACAATAAAGTTTTTTTTTCTCCATCATTTTCAAAGGTCGGGGGTTTGAGCTTCATACATTGCTGTAGATCCTTGGATGAACAAAAGAATATCTTTTTTAGAGATTAAAATAAACTTTTTGCATAATTCAAATTAACTTTTCAATACATTTTATGTTATTGCGTTTGAGCATAAGGTAAACACAAAAATTGTGCTGTTGAGATATGATATAAAAAATTAATTTCACTTCTATTTCCATCAACATGTTTCACAGATTAAAAAATTGATTTTAGAAAAACATAAAATCACTTAAAATTGATTTTTAAGGTATTTTGAAAAATTAATTATTCTTAAATACCGTTGCTCAAAATCACTTCTTCTACCATCACTCCCAAACAAATGTTACATGATGTACAGAGACCATTAGATTTAGTATCTTCTCGTGTTACTGGATGTAATTTAGAAATATTCAAATAATCATAATTATTTTTAAAATTTTAAAGATAGGTATAAGATCCATGATGACTTGAATTAAATGGGTGAATATGAATCATTTATATTACATGTAAAATTATTGGTCCACCCAACATATAAAAATATAGATGGTAGAAAAACATAGTTGAAAACAAAATGTCATCGATCAAAATACAGAAGTCATAATTGTTAAATATTAATTATGAAGAATACATATCTATCTATAACGAGTTATACTTTAAAAATGTTTAATTTTAAAATAAATGTCGGTTGGTTATTGATAGTTTTGTTAAAATTATAAATGACTGTAGAATTAAATAATTATAAATATGTTATTAATGTTGATCGTCTACCTTTAATTATATTTTTTTATGAATAAAATTTGATAAATTTCGTAAGTGAAGAACATTAAGTTTACCAATATATTATAGACAATACACTAGGCTCAAAATTGCACCCATCTTTCAATAAAATAAAAATTGTATAAATGTGTTTTTCTTTTAAATCAAAATTTTAAGTTGGTTGCAATGAAAACAATGAAAATTATATATTTATGACATAAATATTTAATTTTTTTATACTGAAGGAGCAAATATTTTTTTATTATGAAATTTAACCAATTATAAACTATAAAGATATTTTTAATAATTCATATAGTAGTTTTTTTTTTCCCTACAAAGGTGTATGTTTTTTTAGAAGCAGACATATAAGTAATTGTAATAGCTAATTACTTTTTTGCAAAATTTATAATTTCATTTTGCAGAAGATTTGTAGTCTTGTAAAACGACTATAATATTTGGTTGTTAAGCTCTTAATAAAAATTTATTTTTATATAAGATATTATCAACAAAGTCGTACCACTTGCAAAACACGTATTAAGTAATTGGTATATTTTTTGTAAGATGAAAATAATGTGTTGTGAAGCAAATTATTATTTCTTAATACTCTAAATGTGGAGATGGAGAATTGAACTCCGACTTTAAAGAAAAAACAAGATACCTTAACTTCTGAGTTAGACTCATTCGACATAAACAAATTATCGGATATTAAGTCAATTATAATTATAATTTTGCTTTTGTTTTTGTTTGTATCTTTTTTTTTCTCAATATGATCTTAAACTGGCCTAACTGTGAAATTATTCAGATAAATAATAAGTTAAGGTAATTATTTGAATTATTGCTGCCATCGCCCGCCATGGTGGGCAAAAGCAACTTCAATACGTTGTAAATTATAAATTTAGTACATGATAATATTGATTATAATAAGTCATTTATGTCAATCCTAACATTAACATGTAACAATTATTTCTAAATATATAAGCTTAAATGTAAAAGGTTATGTTGTATTTTTAATATTATATAAATATTTTTACATGATGCAATACATTAGTTGGGAACTATAGTGATAGTTGTCACTGACAAAGGATAAACTGAATATTAAAAAAATATAACTAAAAAACTTTTTAATGTTTATAACTAAATAGACACACTACCATAATCAAAGTGTAAGGATTTTATTGAACTAATTAATAAGAAGTTAAAGATATAATGACATTTTTTTTTAAGTACAATATAATGATCTTTTTTTGATCTCTTTGGCCGGCCGCCATTTCGTTATGAACATGCGTATTACAATGTTTTCCCTAATTCTATTTTCAAAAGTACTATTATTCATCTAGCTTTTGTGTGAGTTTGTGGTTATTTTCTTTTCTGAATGTTATACCGTAAAAAAAAAAAAAAGTATGCGATAACAATGAAAAAAGTCTTTGAGAGAAAGCACCATGACAATCATGGTCTCAAATTCGAGCATATGCACTAGTGATATAGTATTGCTGAACTCAAGCAACAAGTTTTATTTATAGAGAACCAATAACGTAAGCACACGACATCAATATCGGAAAATAAAAAAAAGGTTATCAGATAACTAAGAGTATAGAAGTATTATCCAAATTAAATGAATTATTGTGCTAAAATCATAAATATATGTATAGAAGAGACAATTTTTGCATGCATCAATGTGTAAATAAATCGCGAAGATAATGGAACTGTATGGAAAACTTCCTCCACTAATTAATATATCTTAACTACATGACATGAAAATTTTGGGTTTTAGAAAAATAAAAAATATCGTAAGACAAAGACTCACCATCCAGGTTGCAACCCTCTTCTGGTGGGAAATAAAAAAAATAAAATAAAATAAAAGAAAGAAGAAAAGAAAAGGAAAAGAAAAAAGAATGACTTGGTAGTTGAAAATTAATAATATTGTCAAAGTCACTATATATATATATATATATATATATATATATATATAATGACAATAATAAAGGGCCTTTATCTGCTTCCCGAAAAATATATATGTCCATTTGATGATAGTTTACATTTAATTAAAGTGTTGTTTATATATATGTATATAACTTTTTTTTTTCTAAAGAAATAATTTTCTAAAATTTAGAAATAAATTTTTTACTATATTTTCAGTGTTTCAAAATTGAAAATGAACGATGAAAATTTTTGTGTTTTTTAGTACTACAATTCTAAATAATATGAAAATGAGGAATTTAATTTCTTTTACTACAACATACGAGGTAGATATTTGAATTTGTAACTTCTTAGTTAGAGATACATAATTACTGTTAAGTTATGCTCATTTTGAGTGAGAAATTTAAATTTATAAACTCGATTATCAATATTTTAACACCGTCTTCCAATTTTTTTTTAATTACAATATGTAGAGTGATGATCAAACTTACAACTTATTGATTGAAGATATATACCAATTGTTGCTGAGCTAGGCTCGCTTTGACTTGCTTCATTCAATTTTTATAATACCATCTTCAAAAAAAAAATATTATAACACTATGTAAAAAGTTTGGAGAGGTTAATGTGTAGGGATGGATCTTCACGGGATAGTGATGGAGGAAACTTTCCCATCCTCGTTCGCACGCTTATTTAATTTTTCATCTCAAATTCTCCACGAAATTTTATGGAGATCGAGGTGGGGATTCCTCGTGGAAAATTTGTGGGATTCGATTCTCTTAGAGAATCTCCTACCATTTCTTTTTTATTTTTAAAATTTTCAATAAATATTTTTTTCTAAAAAGATTTTAATTTAATTACTTAATTTCTAAAAATAAAACCTCATTTACAAAGTTTAATACTTTTAAACAAATATATGAGGTATGATAGAAAATAATACATGAATTTTTTAATATGTGTACATATATTAAAGAGGATAGTAAAGATAAAACAAGCATAACTCAACAATAATTGACATATATCTCAAATTAAGAGGTCGTGAGTTTGATCATCACCTTCATATATTGTAATAATAAAAAAAGAAGACGAAGAACGGATTCTTGTCTCTACAAGTCCCTAGCCATTTAGATACCGGGAAAAATTCTACCGTACCCATCAGTAAAACTAACGAGCAGTCCTTCTATAAAAATATATAGACTTTTATTTATTATTATTTTTTTAATGAAACTTTTGGTTACCGCTGTAATGTCTGATTGAATTTTATTATATATAAAAATATTTACCTATTTTATTGATACTTTTGGAAAAATGGCAGAAAGAAACAACTTTTGAATTATAGTTTTTCTTTTGGAGTTTTTTGCGATAATCTTTCACACTCTTATTATTTTTTTTAATAATAAAAACAATAAGAAAGCTTACAAGAGTGCTAATAGGTGAAGTCTGTAACTGAATTAAGCTTAAAAAACTAAGCTTATCAAATCATCGCTCATTTCTTTTATTGTTTTTCTTAATTTAGTCCTTAATTTTTTTAATTCTCAAATTTACTTTTGATTTAATAATTTTTTTAATTAATTCATTCATAAAAAAGTACGTTGAAATCTGATAATAGAAGACAGTTATGTTATTAAATTATTATTTTGTTTACATATTTGAACACATGTAAATGCATGCAATTTAGACAATATCATGTATAAGAAATAGACCGTTGGTGAACGAGTTAAATTTTATATGTCAAGTAATATTTTTGAGTGCCAAATTTATGCGTGTCTATAAAATAATTTAATAATACATTAATATTTTGTTAAAAAATTCTTTTTTTTTTTAATGAAGAATCGATTTGAGGTATTTGAGATATAATAGTGTTAGCTTTATGGCTTCAATCAAACCAAATATTTTGATGATCACAAACAAAGTATAAACTAACAATTTGAGTGTTTCAAAGTTTCCATAGTGTAGAGCTCGAAAAGACAAAACAAATGTCTGTCAAATCATTCAAATCGGAGTTTAAACGAAGAAGTTATGGTCAAAACAAGTTAGGA